CCCCCCCCCCAGCCAAGCTCTCTTCCTCCCTATCACACATTCGGCCCCTTCTCTGGTACACCACTACATCCCCTAAATTATTTTGCTTAACACATTGACCCAACTCCCTCCTTGCACCATCATAAAAAGACTGTTGCTCAATCCCTCTCAATAGTTCTAACACCCTATCTTCCTCCATTCAAAAGAAACACCTAAATATTTTTCGAAGTTTAATAGTTTATCCTCCATCTAGAAGGACATATCCCCTCCTCCAATCCGTGACGAAATTGGACAGGCGTCTTTTATATGTACTTTTTCCTTGCTCATACCGGAGGAATACAAGACCATAGTATTGCTAGCAATAGGAACTTTAGGTGCCAGAAGGATCTCACCATTTCCTTGAGAGGCACCAACCTTTAAGATTAACACCCCGCTGATATAGGAATGTCCAGAAATGCCAGCAGTGTAGCGGGAAGGAAGAGAGCATGGAACCCGCGGTGGCATATTAACTGGAATTGCTGGTTGGGCACTAACATCAATTGGGGCATGCGCAACGATCTCCCCAGAAGAAGGAGCTTGAAGTGTAACCTCTGCACAACTAAGCACAGGAGAAGATGAGGGGGCGATGGAGCTGGGTCCTTCAGAGGCGGGAGGCCATGGAATAACACCACCAGCATTAGCCGGTGTTGCCCCTGAAGCAACGGCCGTCGAAGAGGGGCGCAAGACACTAGAGCTCGGAGAAGAAATATCACTGTGTGAAGCACCATTGACAGAAGAAGAAGGAGTGATTGTTCACATATGCTTAGGAGCCTTATCAGACGCAACTTGAAATAATTTGGGCCCCTTAGAATTAATTCTAATAGAATTGGGAAAAGTTGTTGGGCTCATATGTGGAGGCTCAGGCCTATACTTGTTGAAAACTTGTCCGACCCTATGATAACTAAAAGAGGACCGGCCTATTCTGCCTTTCCAGCCCGCATCACTAACCCAGGGGCATTTACGTCTTTTCTTCCTGATAAAATTTTGTCTTCTTCTCCCAAATTCAAACCCTCCGTCTCTTCTCGATCTAACTTCTGATTCCTGCTTAGCCCACTAATCCGGTGAGCCGTCCCCTCCTTTCAAAGACTTATTTCCCCTCCTCTCTCTTCTATTTGACCTACCCTTTTCTTCCGCCACTATCAATAGGCATAAAGATAGGGCGAAATTCAGGGCTCAACCAAACCCTATAACTCAAGTAGCCATCTTCCACTTCTTAAGTTTCTAAAATTTGTATAGGGATTTCTCTGTTTCCAAACTTAATTTTCTTAAGTTTCTAAATTGTTGTTGTTTATCAATATTCATTAACTTCACTTAAATAAAGGCTACCCTTCTTCACAATTCAAATTAGTTATCTAATCTAATCTTTTCTGAAAGTTACATTGTTTGCAAAGTTTACAGCTCAAAACGTTGTACTACCATGACACTGCAAAAGGGCATAGAAAAGGAAAATATGGGATTCTCTCACTTGACTTCAACTAATAAGATCATAAGCTAAATTAGCAAATGCGAAAATAATGGAAGCAAATTCAATAACAATGAGAACTCAAAGTTTACCCAATACTGCCTCGATAATAAGTCCGCAGCGGCATCCTCCCTATCACGTGCCAAATCAGCAGCGGTTCGCCCTCCGCCGAGTATTTGACCGTTGCTTGAGTTAACATCGCACGGGAAAGAATCCTGAGCCTGCGAGGATGACACACTCAACGCTAGGGCAAGCTGCACCTGGTACTCTTCCTCCGAAGTATAATAATCCTGCTGCCGAATGATCGTCGAAATATTCCCTCCTCCGCCACCAGCACTCACCGGAGCAGCGGCCGCCGTGGAGGCACTCGACGTCGTGGAAGGAGTCGACGGTGATTGAACAACAGAACTCGAATTCCGGTTATCAGAANCGAATTCCGGTGATCGGTAGCACATGACGCCGATGACGACGATGATACCGCCGCCGGCGAAGATGAGGATACTGCCGATGAAGTAGGTTGAGCGTCGTTGGATCGATTTGGATGGTGAAGCTTCTTGAAAATGTGTTTCATCGTTCGTTGAGTTTCTCTCTCTATATCATACGGCACTTTTCCTTTCTCTCTCTATATTTGTATATATGTATGTACAACTACTGTTAGTCTTCACACTCTCTTTTTCTCTCTCTATAAAGTCCACCTTCCTATTGACTGTAAAAAGACAGGCATAGAGAAAGGGGAGGAGGGAAACTTAAGGGGGTGGATATGGGGCTACCTAAAAAGGGCATGGAGTTGAGTGAATTTACAGCAAACGACATCAGTGATTCAACACGGTCTTTTTACTGAGATTTCGTTTTTGCCCCAAAAGTAACAGAAATGGAACATTTTGCCCTAGTACAACTACTTATTTCCTAAAGTCAGATTTATGTACAATGTACAAGACAAGCATGAAGAATATCTATACACAAGGATAATTACGGGCTGTATATCTCCATTTAAGTTTATTTCAAGTCATTTTATTCACACAAAATATTCTTTGTATTTTCTACTAGTATAAAAACCTCTAGTAGGGCGGGATGTTGTTTACAATTATAAATCGCTTAATCAAATGAGTTATAAATGCTCAATTATCAACTGATGATTTTTAAATAAATGTAAGGCGTCTAGTGTTGATAAGCAGACACTGCTTCTTGACTATGAATTTTTGAACTTACATTTTGAAAGCCATGTGTTTTAGATTTACATACAAAGAGCATACTATAAATTGAATAAAATACGTAAAAGAATCGTGTAAAGCTCTATAACTTAAAGGAAAGTGGTAAATAAGATGAAACAGGGGCGTACGCAATAATTTTATAAGCGGTGTCGAAATTTATTAAAAAAACGAGAATAATAACTTTAATTATCATATTTTTAAACGAAAAATAGCCTCAATATGTTAGTTTTGTTGAGTTTTAAGCTAGAAAAAGTTCCGGGTTCAATTCTACTTCATTATAATTTTTAACTACAAAGGCTCTCTCAAATATTTACAAAAAAAATGTAATAGTTAAGCTCCAAACATTTGACCTCTTAGAGCAAAATCAAACACATAACAAACATGTCAAAAGACAATTATTGTCAAATGATGTTATTTTATCGTACTTATCCGTTTGCTCACAGTATTAATATATATACTTAGTAAAAAATTTCAATGAAGCAGTGCAAGTGACACTGCTTTGCTAAAGGTGCATCCGCCCGTGACATGAAATGAATTAAATTGATATGAAATTCAGTAATGCTCTATCTACAAAATGTCTAACTTATAGCCTTCCTGTTGTACTTCCAATTTCTTTAAATTCGATATATCCTACCTGGATCATGGAAATTAACCCCAAAAAAATGTGATATGTAATGAAATTGTACTTGAGATATCTTGGGTATAATAAATATTTTGTTTTTGGTTGTTGAGGCAAAGGCATCAATCAGAATGACATCACTAATTCTAACTCCCAATTTTCCAGATAAAACTGAATATTGAAGTAGGATAAGTATACTTTATCCCCAACCATCTTAGGATGTTGTCACTTGTCTGCAATCTGCCGGAGCCGCTAGACAAATGGCATTACATCTATATACTGAGATGCCTAAGAATGAATCATTCAGCATTAGGACCTTTGCCATCACCATCCGGTTGAATTTACCTAGTTTATCAATCAATTCTCAAACAACAGAGTGACTACTTTCTTTAGCTAGCACAAGTATTGAATTTTGATCTGTCCATTGACCGGCTATGTAACATACTTGTGTGCGACAAGAAACCTTAACTCGCATCATGAATTAAAACAAACATGACATAAAAACACATACATAAACGTTGACAAAGCATAAAGACTTAACTAATCTGCAATTTCCAAAATGCTCCAATCTATAAAAACATATCCAAATTACCAAGGCCAAAAGTACTCATGAACAAAAATTTATACATCAGTAGTTACTGGTAAATATAGTACTTTAACCAGTATGATTCTAATTCAAGCCAAAGATTTCAAACGCCGGTTGATCCAAAGCCTCCAGAGCCTCTAACTGTCGAGTCTAGATCATCAACCTCCTCAACATCTGGCACTATGATTTTCTCTATGATCAATTGAGCAATTCTGTCACCAATTTTCACTTCAAAATCAACATCAGAATGGTTGAAAAGAATAACACCAACTGGTCCCCTATAGTCTGCATCAATCACACCTGCCCCAACATCTATTGAATGCTTCCAGGCCAATCCTGATCTTGGAGCTATAAAAGAAAAAATCACGAACTAATAAGCCCCTAATCCTCTAGAAAATTTAGCATGAAATATCAAAATATCCAGCCTATAATAGAAATCGAGATTTTACCCTGATTAACTTCTTACTACAACTAATGGATTATCAAACTAAATCATTTTGCCACTCACATTTATTCAAGAATGTTGAATACAACCTTATGTGTTCTCGTTTGCCCCATTTTTTTTCTTTTATATTATTATTATTATTATTATACAAGTCTTGTATCAATCATCTTTTCTATTTTCTATTTATGTGTTTGGTATTGATGGAAATGAAAGAGAGAGAAAACAAGAATATACCTATACGGGCATAGGTTCCTTCAGGAACGGCAATACTAAGATCTGTGGGTACTAGAGCCTTTCCCCTTTTAGGCACTTTTGTCTCCGTTGCACTGCACCAGAAGTAGGGAAAATATGGAGTAAATAAAAATAAATTAGGAAAAAGTTACAAATTCCCAAAATTGATTATACACCAAATTGAGGAAAAGGTCTAGTTTTGTGAGATAGGTACATTAAATTCGTCAAAAAAAAAAGGGGGAAACCTGGAGAGATCGTAGCCAGCAGAAAGAGAGGAGCCTCTGGAGGGTAAAACGGCATTATCTGAGAGCTTTTTGACGAGAAAGAAGGAATTGATGCCATTTGCAGCCATTTTTAGACGTGGAAATGGAAAAGCTCGAGAGGAAGGAAAAATTGCAACTGTGGTTTAATTTGCGGAAGAAGACTGGATGTATAGGTTTATTAAAGGGGTGTTTTGGTTAGGAAATGTGGAATAGCGCCAAAAGTTCCCGCCATTGCGACACACGTATCGATTAAAAAAGAGAAAAAAAAGTAAATTCTAAATGGTGATAGTGTGATTTATTTTATGTTACGAATAATGCAATGTAGCATGTTATAATATGTTATTATTTTTAGTAGGTATGTAATTAATATTTATCGTAGAAATTTATTTATAATTAATTAGAACTTAATTCACAAAAGGAAAAAAAATAAACATAATATTTGTATGGATGAAAAAAATAAACCCTCTATTCTCAAAAGAATGATATTTTTTAGATTTTAAGAGTCAAACTTTTTAACTTTTACCATGATTTTAAATACAAAATCTGTAAGTTTTTTGAAATAAAATATTTGTATTTGAAAACTATATAAAAAATATTATAACTCGCAAAACTTAACAATTTAAACTATCTAAAAGGTATGTAAAAAATCGTAATCAAATAACAATTTATATGAGTCTCGAAATCCAAAAAGAATAAATCTTTCTAGGACAAAGGGACTAATATGTTTACAAGAAAATAATACTTCGTATTATCTCATTTCTATCAAATTTGTAGGGCCATTTGTTAAAATTATACTCCTTCTGTCCTAATTTACATGATACTTTCCTCTCTCTTTTTTTGTCCAAAAAAGAATGAGACATTTTTATATTTAATAATGATTTAATTTTTAAATGTCCGCTTTATTCTTAATGAGATGATATATAGCCATAAAATATATATGATTTACTTTAGAACACAAGTTTCAATAATCTTTTTTAAATTCTGTATACAGTCAAACACCTACACATAAACTGAGACGGAGTGAGTAACCAATTGTAATAGATCAATTTTTTACATGATAAAACACCAAAGTTGTATCAAATAACTATAGTTTTCGATCGCATATAGAGTGACAAGTAAACATAAATATCATGGTCACATCACATTTAAAAAACATTTCCTCTTCAAATTCTTAATCCAAATTCAATATACAAGCACATCCAAAAGAAAAAGTCACAAAAAGTTTTTTTTCAAATACATAAGTTTAGGGCCTCCCATCTCCACCAAAATAGCTCTTTTCCTGTCCCAACAATATTAATCCATATAACACAAAATCACCCACCACGTGTTTACCTTTTACACTTTCCTCTTTTGTCGACGCTTCTTATGCATAGAAACTATCTTTTCCATGCGTACTTTACGCTATATCAACCTTACTTCCTTCTCTTATACTATACTAAACGTTAACACCATTTACATACAAGAGGTGTTACATATTTCCTCAAAAAACACCTACTTAAGTAATTCTTGAATTAAGATCATTAGAAAATGAGCCAAGAACAGCCAAGGAGGCCAGAAGAAACCGTCAAAAATGAGGATCTTGTGGTAGATGTTCAAGGAGCGCTTGCTCGGAAGAAAGCTGTTGCTGAGTCAATTGGTGGACAGGTTAATTCTAAACTAACATGTTTCTCACCTTTTTTGTTATACTTTTTCACCTATGTTTCATTTAATTTTTTTCTCACTATTCTTAAGCCGAGAGTCTATCGAAAATAAGGCCTCTACCTCTCTAAAGTAAGGGTAAGGTCTAACTACACATTACCCTCCCCAAACCCCATTTATGGGATTCCATTGGATATGTTGTTATTGTTGTTTCATTTAATTTTTAAGAGTGGTGATCGGATATTTGATCATAGCTATGTTCATAGCATAGCTAGTACACACACATCAATGTTCTATATGCTAGTGATCAGTGGCAGAGGTAGAAGCCAAATGATGCCGCTGAACCTAGTAACTTTTGCTCAAATGATGTATTTGTGTTAACATATTCATCAAATATGTAGACAATTTAAATTTAAAATCCAATTATTTGTACTTGAAATTTCCGTTCTAAAATTCAGAATTTGAAGGTTGAAATATTAGTCTCGCCTCTGCTAGTGATCAAACTGATGTTGATAGTGATGGTTTATTTTTCCTGCTCTTTTGGATGGTGTTCATCAAAAAGTCTCAATGCAAGGGACGTTTGAATTAATATTTCAATAATTATGCAAGTTAGTAGGGACAATTTACTGCTTAATTTTCTTTCTTTCTTCAAAGAGGTATTACAAATTTTATTTACTGGAACAATTGCATTCACGAACTAGTACGTGATTTTGTAATAAGGAACTTCTGTTTTTGTTCGGTATATGATCTATCATCTTAATTATTTGGGAAATCCAGGAGTAATTAAGCATAGAGCGTGACACTAAATCAATATTTTTCTTACCTTTTTTTTTTAATGTGACCCGTATTTTAAAGGTACTTGGGCAAGACAAAAAGGCTCCACTTAGCTCAGAATCAGTATCATCAGGAAAAACAAACATTACCATAGGTGAAGCCCTTGAAGCCACTGCTCTCACCGCCGGAAACAGGCCGGTGGATTACAGCGACGCAGCGGCGATACAGGCCGCAGAAGTGAGAGCCACCGGACGTACCAACATTATCCCTGGTGGAGTTGCTGCTGCAGCTCAATCAGCAGCTACTCGCAATGCTCGTGTTACCAAAGAGGAAGAGAAAACAAAACTGGCTGAAATCCTCGCTGTAAGAATTCTTTAAAGTGTCACCATCTGTAAGTTAAATCCTATTTTCCATAGTCGTTTTCACCATATGAAAATTATGGTGTGGATTCATTCCCATTCATCACCCCTCATGCCGAGATTCGAACATTCTTTATCTGGGTTCCACTGTTCGGTCTGGAACGTGCACAATCATGGACCGACGGTATTTCCACCCCCTTCAATTGGCCCAGGGCCCACATCGGCCAAGGGCCTGACTCTGATACCATGTTAAAATAAGCTTTGGGCCTAACTCACACCCCCAAAAGATAGCTCCAAGGGAGGATTGCCCAAGCCTTATTAGGGGTGAGCATCGATCGGTTCGGTTCGGTTATGAATATTATCGGTTTACAAATTTGATATACCGATAACCGAACCGATAAGATATCGGTTATCGATCATTATCGGTTCGATTATCGGTTTACCCGATAAGATAACTCAATCTAAAGTTAAGCAAAAAAGAGAAGACAATTCATTGGAGTTAAGCAAAAAGAAGAAGAATTCACATAGAGTATACTACCCATTTTTGAGTTCTGTCCAGTGGCCACAACTAGAATTGTACTAATTCCTCAACAACACTTGTCCAAATACATTAATAATAATACAAAGTAGTAGCAATTTCACCTTAAAATTAACAAGTTCAAACATATAGTATTAACAGTTCAAATTCAAGTTAACAAGACAACAACTACACAATCCTTATAGGCTTCACCAAAAAATCAGTGGATAAATACTTATCAAACTGTAACAATTCCCACAAAATGTTCCAAGGCATTAGCTGCCTCCTCCGATATGATAACAACAATAGTTGATTTAAAATTTTTATTTCACACAATACCTGCACTTCCACAAGCATTGAAGCCCTCAAACGATCCAAGATAAACTGGATGTTATTTGTCAAATGTCTAACCTGAAAAAAGAAACAATAGAGCAAGCCCTATATGAGGATGAATTTTGTTATAGAAATTAAAAGTCTAATGTATAAGACTAAAGACTTATGGTAGGAGTAACTAGTAAGGTCTATGAAAAATAAAGATAAAGCAACTGAAGAGTGCGGCTGAGAAAGAATAGGAGAGAATGAACTGAAGCCCTGACATATATATACTTAAGGGTAAAGTCGTAATTTTATTAATTCTTATTGGGTTATGGGTAACCCATTAACAAAATTGGCAAACCGAGGCCCGAACCGATAACCCAATAATGAAAAAATTCTAAACCGTTACCGAATCGTTAACCCAATAACCCGATACCGATAATCCAATAAACAATTAACGGTTCGGGTTATCGGTTTTACCAGATATATGCACAGCCCTAAGCCTTATAAGAAGACCAGCGGTCTCATCCCGGTCCGATGTGAGATTCCTCCATTCATCAAATTGTTTTTAACTGTGAGTGACAATGTAAAGAACTTTTATATTAGTAATGCATTTTCACTTGTTGTAACATGTAAACTGCCTTATTTTTCAAGTTACTAATCTGCTCGTTTTATATTTGGCAGGACGCGAGTGCAAAATTACCAGCAGATAAGCCAGTGACACGAAAAGATGCAGAGGGAGTGATAGGTGCTGAACTGAGGAATGATCCAAACTTGTGCACTCGTCCTGGTGGTGTGGCTGCTTCTATTGCTGCTGCTGCAAGGCTCAACCAAAGTCACACCACAACCAGCACCAATAATCAAAACAGCAACAATCTCAAACAAAAACTAAACTAGAATGACCAAGTACACTACTGTAATATCTAATCCTGCATTTTCTTCTCCATTTTGACATTTTCTCCGGTGCCTTCTTTCCAGACTTTAAATCTTTCTTTTCTTTTCTCTTTTAAAAGTATAACCCCATTTGGTGTTTTCTCCTGCCTTTTTGGTCAAGGAACTATTACAAGCCCTCATTGAGGCTTAGCTTACAGGATTGTAATTTTGTAGTGAATAATACTTGGAGAATCTGTCTAGTCAGTTTCTCTTCCCTTCCCTCTGTGCAAGGGTTCAAGAGCATTTGAAGTTTTTTTTTTGAAGAGCATGTACTTTTTCGCTTCTGACTCTTGTGCATGTCCAGGGAGTTGGTGATGTTTTGTCATTAGTCACAAATGTATGCTTTACACTGTACAGGAGTAATTATCTAGTTCCAAGCAGTTTGCTGGAAAGCTTTCACTTTCCCTTACAATCTGAAAAGTGTTTCATTCGTTATTAAAATAGCAACTCTTTCTTTCTTTCTTTTTTCGGTGACAAGTGTTGCGCAATACTTGCAAGAAATTATTTGTGTCCCTGCCTTATGTTGGAATATATACCACAGCGGAAGCAATAACAGAATCTTATTCACGTGTAATCTAAACAATTAGCACGTATGGAGATTTTAGGA